TTATATAATTTATATAGTATATTATTAGTTCATGCTATTGCCAACATCTTTTAATTACTAATTGTAGTTAACTTAGCAATATAACTTTAATCAATAATAATTCATATTACGAATCGAAAATGTACTTTAGCGCTTGTTTACCTTTACCTAAATAACACACACTACGTATTTACAAAACAGGTAGTGGTTTGCTGTTTAAAATTGAATATCCATTTCTGTTTGGATCTTCAAATTTTTGGTTTTATTTATCGTAAAATCCTTTATTATGACTTATCCTAACTATCTTCTGCTTAAATATTTTGCTGAAACATGCGTTAAGGTACCAGAGCTTCCTTGTGTGATTGTGGTCGTGCTTAGGCTGAAAAAGAGGATGTTTACGTTGAAAATAAAAATTACACAAATAATAAAAATTAACGAGAAAAAAATTTTGATGTTCCAAAGATCTTTATTGAGACTACATAGTGTATATGTACCTGCAATTCCTTTGATAAAGTCATGACGTCAAAACATGTGTAAAGTTTCAATAAGAACCTTCGAAACACTAAAAAAAAGTTTTTTCGTTGAGTATTAAAAAAAAACATTTTCCATTTGCTTCATCAATAATATTTATGCAATTACAAATTAACTCTTTTCTTATGTATTTTAATAGTTTCTTGAAAACTTCTTTTATTTTTGGGTGCAACTACTCTCTAAAAATAATTCAGTGGCTTTTCAATAATTTCCAGTACATATTCAAATTGAATCAGCAAAATTAATAGAAATACATAAAAATTCAGCGTAATATCGGTTCTGAATAGAATCTACAGCGTGTGTCAGTCGACGATTCTATCAGTGTGCCAACTAATGGAATAAAATCAGCTGCAATATCAAGACTTTAACAACAAAAAATAATGGTTTAATTTGTAATAATGGTTTTTACCCTCAAATAAGGTCCTGAAGAATATCAATGCAGTTTTAAATTACAATGACTCGTTTAAACAAGTTCTACTGATAGAACATTGAATTACTTAAACAAGTGATTACATCAGTATAAAATAATTGATTTCACAGTCAAATATTATTGTGAATAAGAACTAATTGTCACTGAGTTTCCGCTGGGATGATTTTTTCACTGTTTTATTTTCAGAGAGTAGGAACTATATAAAACTTTAATTACAGTACTATATGCAATTAAAAAGAAATCATTACAAGTATGTATTCATTTTCTTATTATTTTTGCAATACTGTATTGCACTTTATTTTTTTTTGTTTAAATAATTTAGTTGTTTTAAACATCCTCTTTTTCATTAAGAAAGCATCTCGAACTTCAGCTTGGTAGACTTTAATTTCAGATGTCACTCATGCTTTGTAAAAGCTTTGGCAAACGTTTCTTTCTTTTGTAAATATCTAAAAATAATCCAACCAAAAAGTGACCATTTGTTTATTACGGAAACTCACTTTTTAAGAAACACGTATTAGTTAAATACCCAAAAGGGACAAAATTTTCTGTACACGTTGGTTGGTTGTTGGAAATAACATGTTGGATATATCATGGTTTACTCGTATTTAATTCGCACTACATTTTTTTATATAAAAATTATT